TTTCTAATCCAAGAGTTCAAGAATTTCAAGAATTCTGACCAAGGAATTCTTGGCTCTGGACCGAGGGAAGATCATAGGAATAGGAGTGATCACAGTAATGGATATCAGACCCTAAGTCGAAGAACTCCTGAGTTCACTGGGGAATTCCAACCTGTCAACAGCTTTGGTAATATGTCAACTCCAAGAAACTCTTTCTTTAGCAATCAAAAACTTGTTCAACCAAAATCTTTACGGCTGGATTTTCCTTCTTTCTCTGGATCTGAAAATATTATAGCTTGGTTAGAGCAAACCGAACAATTTTTTGAGTATTATGACATTAAAAAAGATGAATGGGTCAAGGTCTGTTCCTTCTACCTAAGGGATGAGGCCTTGCAGTGGTATAGATGGTTCACTAGGAATATTGAAGATTATTATCACTGGACTGTTTTTAAAGAAGAAATTATAACAAGATTTGGTCCTAGTGAACTCACGAGGCCATATGATGCTTTCTCAACACTGAGACAGACTTCTACAGTCAGGAGTACTTGGGGAAATTTGAGCAAGCATTGGGATTGTTAGATGATCAACCCTCTAGAAGACACATTCTTGAGAGGTTTATAGGGGGATTAAAAGATGAATTGAGATATGATGTTTCAGCAGCTAGACCAACTTCTTTAAAAGGGGCTGTATCCTTGGCCAAACTATTTGAGGACAAACAGAAAAATGAAAGAAAATATAAGGGTCACTGGAGTTACTCAAACTCAGAAGGTTCTTCAATGAACAAATCACAGAATCCTTCTCTTAAGTCTTCAGATCCTCAAGCAGTCAGACCCTTCCACCAGTTTAAGAAACTGACCCCTGAAGATATACAAAAGAAAAGAAGTCAGAACTTGTGTTTTACATGTGATGAAAAATGGCATAGGGGTCATCAATGCAAAGGAAAACAATTATTTGTCTTAGAAGGAATCATAGAGGGTGAATTGGATAGGACTGAAGTGGATTCTGGAGAGGAGGAAGAAGGAGATTCTGCAGTTATGGAGTTGGCTGAAAGCTTGGTCAGGGGAGCTCCCTCTATTTCTGTACAAGCATTGAATGGCATTACTGCTTCCCACACAATTAGGGTAGTAGGATATTACAAAAATCAGGCTATTAACATTTTAATAGATTCAGGATCTACACACAATTTCATCAATACCAAACTGGTTAAGAAACTGGGTATAACTGTGACAGAGTCAAGTAATTTTGAGGTTCTAGTAGCCAGTGGTGAACTAATTAAAGGAGGAATATGTCCAGGGGTATCTTTGGACTGCCAAGGGGTGAATATTCAGGTTAACCTATTGGTTATGCCTATGGGAGGTAGTCAAGTGGTTCTAGGGGCTGATTGGATGAGAACATTGGAGGATATCACTCTAAACTTCAATAAGCTACAGGTGACATTCATGACTGAGGGGGTTAAGAAAACCTTACAAGGGGTACTCCCAGATGATCTGCAGTTAGTTGACAGTAAGCAAATTGCAAAAACTATCAGGGAACAAGAGCAAGGGTTCCTCATCCAATTGTGCAGTGTGAGTCTACAAAGGTGCACAACAGAAGGTGCACAGGGAGACTTACCTTCAGAAGTGCAAGAACTGATACAAGAATTTGAAGATGTATTTCAGGAGCTACCACATCTTCCTCCTAAAAGGGACAGATCATAAAATCCCACTGGAAAATGGCACAAAACCAATCTGTATCAGACCATACAGGCATGCACACTTTCTAAAAGATAAAATTGAGAAACAAGTAGAAGACATGCTTAACAAAGGGATCATCAGACCTAGCAACAGTCCTTTCTCCTCTCCAGTTGTGATGGTTAAAAAATCTGATGGGGGGTGGAGGATGTGTATTGATTATAGATCTCTTAATCAAGTTACCATCAAGGATAAATTTCCAATACCTGTCATAGATGAACTCTTGGATGAATTACATGGGACAAAATTCTTTACTAAGCAGGATTTAAAATCTGGATATCATCAGATTAGAATGCATACAGCTGATATTCCAAAAACTACCTTTAGGACCCATAGTGGACATTTTGAATTTCTGGTAATGCCATTTGGCCTCACTAATGCTCCTTCTACTTTTCAAGCCCTTATGAATGCTATCTTCAAAGACCTACTCAGGAAATCTGTCCTTGTCTTCTTTGATGATATTTTGATATATAGTGCAAGGTGGCAGGACCATTTGTTGCATCTAAGACAAGTGTTTCTGATTATGCGGGCACATCAGTTGGTAGCAAAAATGTCAAAGTGCAGTTTTGGACAACATCAAGTAGAATATTTAGGCCATGTTGTATCACAAGAAGGGGTTGGAGTTGATACTAACAAGATCAAGGCTATCATTGACTGGCCAAGGCCAACAACTTTGAAGAGGTTGAGAGGTTTTTTGGGTCTAGCCGGATACTATAGAAAGTTTATCAGGGGATTTGGAGCAATTGCACAGCCCTTGACACAACTTTTAAAGAAAGGAGCTTTTATGTGGACTGACTGCACTGAAAAGGCCTTTGAAGCATTAAAGGGGGCACTGACTCAACCTCCAGTCTTAGCTATGCCCAATTTTAATCTAATATTTGTCATTGAATGTGATGCTTCAGGATCAGGTATTGGAGCTGTATTGATGCAAGAAGAAAGACCCATAGCTTACTTCAGTTCTGCTTTGAAAGGAAGGAATATTACACTTTCCACATATGAGAAAGAGTTAATGGCAATCATTCTGTCAACAAAAAAATGGCAGCAGTATTTACTAGGCAGGAAATTTGTGATCAGAACTGATCATCGGAGTCTCAAATACCTATTGGAGCAAAGGATTCATACAGGTATTCAAAATAAATGGCTTGCAAAATTACATGGGTATGATTATAGGGTGGAATATAAGCCAGGCAGGTTGAATAAGGCTGCAGATGGCCTATCTAGACTGCAGGATAATGAAGATGAGGTTCCTGCTCAAGATGAGGTTCCTGCTCCTATGGCTGAGGTTTCAGCACTTACTACTCTTACCAGTGATTGGTTAGAGGAGGTTAAACACATGTGTTCTATAGATGATTATTATAGGCAACTGGATGACAGATTGCTGCATGGGCAATTGGATGCTGGGAATTATTTTAAAAAAGGAGGGCTCTACTTCTACAAAGGAAAACTGTTGATTAGTCCTCAAGCTCAACACATCAAGTCTTCCTTATTTAAAGAGCATCATGATAGTCCAACAGCAGGGCATTCTGGAATCACCAGAACCTTACAGAGACTTAGGAGGGCTTGCTATTGGGAAGGTATGAAGAGGGATGTCCAGACTTATGTTCAAAATTGTGATATCTGCCAAAGATCAAAAGGGGAAAACATAGCTTCCCCAGGTCTCTTACAACCCTTACATGTTCCTGATTACATCTGGGAGGATCTTTCAATGGATTTCATCACTCAACTACCAAAAAGTGGGGATAAGAGTGTTATTTTTGTGGTGGTTGACAGACTGTCTAAGTATGCTCATTTTTTTTCATTATCACATCCTTACAATGCTCCCTCAGTTGCTCAGGTATTCTTTGAAGGAGTGTTTAGATTGCATGGCATGCCCAAGTCCATCGTAAGTGATAGAGATCCTTTGTTTACAAGCCTCTTTTGGAAAGAATTGTTTAAATTACAAGGCAGTCAATTGAAGTTCAGTTCAGCATATCACCCCCAGACTGATGGCCAAACAGAGGTCATTAATAAAATTTTAGAGGGTTATCTGCGTTGTTTTTGCTGCCACAAGCCTAAGGAATGGAGTAAATGGTTGCCTTTAGCTGAATATTGGTATAATACCACCTGGAAAGTATCTACAAATACCACTCCTTTTGCAACTGTATATGGTAGGCAGCCTTGGTATAATACCACCTGGAAAGTATCTACAAATACCACTCCTTTTGCAACTGTATATGGTAGGCAGCCCCCTTCTTTGCTCACCTATATCCCTAACAGCTGCAAGGTTGAAGCAGTGGATGGGGTTCTTTTTTCCAGGGATATAACCCTCCAGTTTTTGAAGGACAGCTTGAAGAAATCAGTGGTACAAATAAAGAAATTTGCAGATAGACACAAGAGCAACAGGAGCTTTACAGTAGGTGATTGGGTTTATCTTAAGCTCCAGCCTTATAGGCAAGTTAGTGTCTCTTCATGCAAACCTCACAAACTATCTCCCAAGTATTATGGCCCATATCAGATTTTGGAGAGGATAGGTGAGGTAGCTTACAAGTTGGAACTGCCTACTCATGCCAAGATCCACCCTGTTTTTCATGTTTCCCAGTTAAAGAGGAGGGTAGGTACTGATATCATTTTACAAAGTGACCTGCCTAATTATGTGGAAGAAATAATTGATGAACCTGAAGCTATATTGGATAGAAGGACAGTCATTAAAGAGAATCATTTGGTCTCTGAGGTTCTTATTAAGTGGAGGCAACAGCCTTTGATAGATTCAACTTGGGAATCATAGTGGGACTTGGTGAAGAGGTTTCCCACTTTTGACCTTGAGGCAAGGTCAAATTTAAGTGGGGGGAATTGTCAGGAGCCAACACTAAGACAACTGGAGTTGAGGTTGGAAGCTGGGAAAGATTCTGCATAACTGTGTGCACTATCTGACTGATACACAAGAACAAGGACTGATATGCAATTATTGTGGGGCTAGCATGCAAATTCTCATAGTTCAAGGGCTATAATAAATGTTTGACTGTTTGTTAGATTTCTGTTAGAGAACTTAACTGTCTGCACGTGAACAGTTAAGTCAGTTAGTTCTGTTATTACTGTTGCAAGTGTGTGCACGTGCACAGTCTATTAGAGTGAGAGGAATTGTATAAATAGATGTTGCAATAATTGAGATTTAGGTTTTTTGCTTTGAATAAGAAATCTCTTCTCCTCAGTTCTCTACAATATTCTTGTCCAATTCTCTCTCTCTTCTTCTTCAAGTTGAATTTAGTTGAAATCAATGGCTAGAAAGGTGAATCGAGGTCTCCGATCCTCACATAAACACACTGAACGCCTCCACAATCTCAGCTATCACAATTCACAAAACAATAAATAAAAAATAAATACTATGTAAAAATCACAACTTTTTGCACAGCTATAAATGCGGAGTTTACCGGCGCCCTTCTCTTTCCGCTTCCGCTTCTTTCTCCTTTTTGGTTATCGTCACAGACGGTGACTCAATCGCCTCAAATTCCTCTAATTTCTGCTCCTTCTCTGTATCTTTTGGCTGGATTTTTAGGGTGCGATTTAAAGATTTCGAAGGAAAAAGTGAATTTCGGAGAAAGAGAGGAGATGTTACCTTGAATCGAGCGATGTCGTTGGCGAATCTCTTCTTATCGAATCGGAGGCCGGAGTATAGAATCGAGGATGCCTTCTCCGTCGCCGGTGAAGATCGAGATAAACCCTAGAAATTTGAGTAGAAAGTTGGCGTGAGGTTTTGGGGCTGTTTGGTTGTTTTGGTAAATGTATTTATGTCATAACTTGGAAAGTTGTTGTCCAGCTCATCAATTTTACTTTTATACTTTTCTTTGTTTGTTTTTGATTCCATTGGAATCATAAATTATTTGTTTGGTTTGTAAATGTAACTTTAATTGTTTGTCTAGAAAGTATAAAAAGTGATCCCTACTCAAATAATCATATTGGTTGGAATTATTTTTTATTATTTTTTCCTGACTTCAATGTCAGCTTTCTGCTAAAATCATGTCTTTTTTTTTATGAAATCACTTTACAAGCCACATCAGCACATGAAATCACTTTACACTATTTTTACAACTACAAACAAACAATTGAAAGTGATGAAAGCTGACATTGGGATCCACTTTTTTACACTTTCCATCCTTTTACATGGTAAAAAACATACAACCAAACATCCCTTTTACAGAAGAGGAAATAAATTTGGGCTAGGGTTTAAGTAAAGGCAGAAACGATAAGTAAAACGATAAGTAAAACCATTTGTAAAAAACATACAACCAAACATCCCCTCTTTTTTTAACGCTTTTATTTCTTTTTGACTTCGAAGAGCATCAGATGTTGTTAAATGCTTCGTTAAATAAGGTGCATTATTCATTTGCATGGTTTTTTTATTTTTTTTTTATTACAATTTCCATCATGTGCATACACTTATTCATTTTCCAACTAGAAAATGTAACTTAAAAATAATCATTTGGAGCTATTTGTTTGAGAGAAAATAAAATTGCAGAAGTAAATACTACCGTCATTACGCTTCCAATGCTCAATTAACGACATTCTGAATAGAAATTTAAATAAGGTTAAATTATGGGTAAAATCTTGCTTAAAAATTGTACAAAATGCTTGATTACAACAAATATTGCGGCTTCTCAGTAATGAAGCAAGAAAGAAGGCCAATGATACATTAAGAAAAAAAAAATTCAATTTCAATTTTTTTAGCTTTTTGCATCAATTGTATTTCAAACAAACACGAGTTTGTATTGAAAAAATATGTCGCATGGTAAAATTGCAGATATATATAAACAATGTATTTAAAGTAAACTTTCATTCGAATAAGTATCGCATACATGCACGGTGCATATTAAAGTTTGTGTTAGGTTTGTAGTGGACTTCAAGGTAATATTTCAAAACCCGAATTAAGGGACTTGACTTTCCTTTGCCTTTAAAATGATATTTGCCCAAATATCTACAAGAGTTACTGTAAATTTGCCTCCCAAGTTAATTCAAATCTAGATTATTCTACAATGATCACTTGTTACAGCCAAAAGATCATTCTCAAACTTCATAAACACAGAGATAATAAAGAATATATTTATAAGAGATTTTACTTCTGTAGAGAATAGAGAAAACCCTAATTGTTGTTTATTGAGATAATAAGAGAGATATATATAGCTATACAAATAGGGTTAAGGTTAACGGGTAATAGCCCATTAACCCAATACCCAATACTTAATTTAATACTCACCCTTAAGCTGAAGCATAGATATCTATCATGCCCAGCTTGTCACCTATAGTAGAGAACACATTTGAAGAAGTAGCCTTGGTAAGAATATCATCAAGTTGCTGTGAGGACGGAGTGAATATGAGAGATACTATCTTCTTCTCCCAAGCATCTCTAACAAAATTGTAGTCAACTTCAATATGTTTTGTCCTCTCATGAAACACATGATTCTGTGCAATATAAATGGCAGACTGGTTGTCACAATGCATTGGCATGGGTCCAGGCTGAACAAAATCAAGCTCTGTCATAAACTTTCGTAGCCATACCATCTCACAAGCAGTGTGAGCCATTGCTCTATATTCGGCCTCTGCACTAGATCGTGATACTACATCTTGTTTCTTGCTTCTCTAAGTCACAAGATTACCTCCAACAAAAGTACAGAATCCTAAGGTTGATTTTCGGTCTCTCATATCTCCTGCGTAGCCAGCATCAGAAAAAGCCGAAATGTGAGTATGCCCATGCTTCTTATATAGCAATCCCTTGCCAGGACAACTCTTGACATATGCCAAAATTTTCAAAGCTGCCGTCCAATGAACCTCTCTAGGTTTGTGCATAAACCTGCTCAGTACACCTACTGCAAAAGTAATATCAGGTCCGGTAAATATCAAATATATTAGCTTCTCAATTAGTCTTCTATATTGTCCAGCATCATCTAGTAGAGAGGTATCATCACGCCACAAATCAACATTTACTTCCATTGGAGTGCTTGCAGGTTTGCATTCCAAGAGACCTCCTTCTTCTAGTAAATCTAGCACATACTTTCTTTGGGACAACAACAGGCCATGCTTTTGATATGCAACTTCAATCCTAAGAAAATACTTTGGCTTTCCCATGTCCTTAGTGACAAAATGACGGTTTAGATACTCATTAGTCTCAGCTAAGGCAACAGAGTCACTCCCAGTCAGCAGAATATCATCAACATATACGGTTAAAATAACCAAACCAGTTGTTGTGCGTCAAAGAAAGACAGAATAATCAGACTGACATCGTTGGAAACCAACATTAGAAATAACATTGCTGAACTTATCAAACCAAGCTTGAGGACTCTGCTTTAACCCATAGATGACCTTTCTCAGCATGCAGATAATATTCTCCCCCTGAGCAACATACCCAGGAGGTTGCTCCATATAAACCTCCTCGTCCAAATCACCATAAAGGAAAGCATTCTTCACATCTAGTTGGTGCATCGCCCAATCCATATTTCTTCACATCTAGTTGGTGCATCGCCCAATCCATATTAACAGCCAGAGAGAAAAGAATTTTGATGGAGTTAAGACGAGCAATGGGAGAAAAGGTTTCAAAATAATCGACGCCATATGTCTGTGTATAACCTTTAGCAACCAGGCGAGCTTTGTAACGGTCAACAGACCCATCGGGGGGATATTTCAGGGTATACACCTATCTGCAACCAACCACAGTCGTTCTAGTAGGAAGAAAAACCAAGTCCCAAGTTCCTCTAGAAAGTAGTGCATTCATTTCCTCATTCATAGCCTGCTTCCAAGCTGATACTAACATAGCTTCCTCATGTGACCTGGGTATAGATATAGTGGACAAGGACAAAGCAAACTGACGAAAAGATGAGTTGAGATGGTCATAAGAGACAAAAAGAGAGATAAGATATTTCAGGCAAGACCGTTTACCTTTTCGAAGAGCAATAGGGATATCCAGGTCAGAAGGAATAGAGGTCTCAACATGAGATAGACTGGCAGCTGGAGATGAAGATTCTTCAGGAGCAGATTCAGGGGTATGTACTTTTGGACGACGAGAGTATGTTAGTAGAGGCTTTGGTGCAGGAGCTACAGGAGCAGGTAATGGAATAGTAGTAGGAGCAGAGGAAGATAGTGGTACATATGGACACCCAATAGTAGTGGAAGTATATGAAAAATAGGGGACATACTCAAAAAATGTGACATCAGCAGACACAAAATATTTCCTGGTGGATGGATGATAACACCTATACCCTTTTTGAGTACGAGGGTATCCAATAAAAACACATTTGATGGATCTAGAAGACAACTTATCCAAACCAGTAGTTAAATCCTGAACAAAACACGTAGAACCAAAGACACGGGGGATCATAGAGAATTATTTTTTATCAGGATAAAGATAATTGAATGGTATTAAACCATCAAGGACAAAGGAAGGCATGTGATTAATCAAATAATTTACAGTGAGAACAACATCAGACCACAAATACTTTGGAACATTCATATGTATCATCAGTGTTCTAGCAACATCTAGAATATGCATATGCTTCCTCTCAGCAACTCCATTTTGTTGTGAAATGTAAGAGCAAGAAGTCTGATGAATAATGCCATTAAGAGCACAAAATTTTAAAACATCACCTTTCATATATTCCAAAGCATTATCAGTACGAAAAATACGGACAGAAGTAGAGAACTGGGTTTTTATTTCATAATAAAAGAGTTTAATAACGTGCGAGAACTTTGATCCCTCTTTTAACAGATAAAGTCGCGTCATGCGAGAGAAATCATCAACAAAGATAATAAAATATCGAAAACCTTTCACAAAGGGAACACGATAAGGACCCCAGACATCAGAATGAACCAACTCAAAAGCAAAGCTACTACGTTTATCAACTCGACTCTGAAAAGTAGCACGATGATGCTTACCCAGTTCACAAGACTCAGAACCTAAAGAGGAAATAGATGACTAAACAGAAACTACGGATATAAGTTTTTGTAGTGAAGGATATCCCTGACGCCAGTGCCATAATAAAGTAAAGTCAGACTGTGATGCAACAAGACCAGCATCTGGCACATTGTCGTCCAAATAGTACACACCTCCTCTCTCATGCCCCGAACCAAGCTTCATGCCAGTTGCTAGGTCCTAAAAAACATAATAAGATGGAAAGAATGTGACTTTACAGTTATTTTGTTTTGTAAACTTGCTAATAAATAATAGACTAACAGGGAATTTGGGAACATATAACACATCAATTAGTTTTAAAGAGGAAGTAGCATGAACTACTCCAACAGGGAATTTGGGAACATATAACACATCAATTAGTTTTAAAGAGGAAGTAGCATGAACTACTCCATCACCACGAACTGGAGAAAGAGTACCATCAGCAATAAAGAGGAAGTAGCATGAACTACTCCATCACCACGAACTGGAGAAAGAGTACCATCAGCAATGCGAATAGAAGAAAACTTATCAGAAAGATGTAAAGATACAAAGTGATCCTTTATACCTGTCATATGAGCTGAGGCTCCAGAATCTAGTACCCAGGGTTTGTGAGAAGAATCTATGTAAGCATCCATACTTGAAGAGTATGCATAAGTAGCAGAATGAATGTTCTGAGAGAGTTCTAGCTGGCGTAACCTCTCATAATCTGCCTGAGAAATCTGAATAGTAGGAGCAATAATAGATAGACTATCAGAAGTAGTAGCAGAAATAGATGAGTGAGTCGATTTGGTATTAGCTACCTGGGCCCACTGAGGACGACCAAACTTCTCCCAGCACTTCTCAGAAATATGATTGGTTCTCCCACAGTGACCATATTGACGTGAGCGCTTATCAGATTCACATGGCCTCCCACCAAATGAGCCACATCCTCCCTCTGAATCACGGCCATGACCACGACCGTGGCCTCTGCCCCGACCAGAGAATATGGCAGACTGATCTATTGTAGGTGGAGATGGTGCAGTAGTATCAGAAATAACACCAGTAGAAACCTACATGACTCTGGAGAATGTAGCAGATAGTGAGGGAATGATATCGCCACCTAATATCTGCCCTCTCACTTGGGACTGTAAAGTAGGATGCAATCCAGAAAGAAATTTGGACACTGCCAGATCTCGACGATACCGCAATAGCGTCGTTACATCAGCTACCGCAGGCTGATGCATCTCTAGTTCGTCTATCAGTCCCTTTAATTCACCAAAGAATTTCGGAACTGACTTATCTCCCTGTTTGAGTGCAAACAATCGCTCATAAATTTCAAATACACGGGAAACATTCTTCTCGTTCCCGTACATAATCTTTAGGTTGTCTCACATCTCCTTCGCAGTGGTTAAAAATATAACGCTGTTACTAATCTGTGCTTCCATACTGCTGAGAAGCCAATTCATAACATAATAATCAGATGAGAGCCATGAATTATAGGTGGGATCTGAGGTTGGTGGTGGGGATGCCAGAAGATGTGGTAGTTTGCTCTGAGTGCCAATAAAGATGCGGAAAGCTTGTGCCCACAGTAGATATTTTGCACCATTCAATTTAATAGTAGTTCCCAAGACTACCTTGGGCGCAGAGGTCTCACCAGCAACAATATTTTGCACCATTCAATTTAATAGTAGTTCCCAAGACTACCTTGGGCGCAGAGGTCTCACCAGCAACAATAGAAGGAGTAGTAGAGGAGGAGATGTCCCTTGGGCGCAGAGGTCTCACCAGCAACAATAGAAGGAGTAGTAGAGGAGGAGATGTCCGACATCGAAGTACTAGTCATTTTTTTTATTTTTGAGTAATTAACAATAGGAGACAGATAGTAGTCAAATAGGCAGATTAGTAGTAGAGATCCGTTCTTAAAACATAAACTAAGAGCAGATCAGGCGCAGGATTAGAGGCAGAGTGATAGATAGTCATGCCCTCACACCGCGTAGGCGAGATCACCTGAGGGAGAGAGCCCTGGCTTTTGTTTGCACAAATGCTCAATTTCTATATTCTTGTTTCTCGAATGAAACAAGAATAAAAGTGAAATATCTCAACAACGTGAGATAGACACTTTTCCTCTCATCAGTTCTATGATTGAAATATCAAGGGATACAATCGTCCTCTCATCAGTTCGAAGACTGAGATGTCGGGGAATAGGCAACACGCTGTAGGGGGGTGCGGTAGTCCGGCAAAGGAGGAGAGGAGGATTGCGGGTATAGAGGGAGGGGCGGCAAAAGGGGAGGAGGACGGTGGCTAGTAGTGGTGAAGAGGCGGCGGTTTTGGGAAGGGATTTGATACGGCTAGGGTTTCTTTCTCTGATACCATGTAGAGAATAGAGAAAACCCTAATTGTTGTTTATTGAGATAATAAGAGAGATATATATAGCCATACAAATAGAGTTAAGGTTAACGGGTAATAGCCCATTAACTCAATACCCAATACTTAATTTAACAACTTCTTTCAGGAGAACAAATTATACATATAGAGGTTCATACCTTTTTGCTTGGACAAGCATGGATTGATTCTCTTCGTTTATGCGCGCTTGAAAGTGCTGGTTACTATAGATTTTAAGTTCTTAAAACTGCAGGTCATTCCGAAACTTCATCAACACAGAGATAATAGAGGGTATGTTTGTAGGAGATTTTACTTCTTTCAGGAGAACAAATTATGTAGAGGTTCATACCTTTTTCCTTGGACAAGCATGGATTGATTCTCTTTTTTTATGCGTGCTTGAAAGTGCCGGTTACTATAGATTTTAAGTTCTTAAAACAACAGGTTTGCAGTTTTACAAACTATCAATTTGTAGTTAAAAAACTACCAGTTAGCCGTTTGAAAAATTACAGTTTTTGCTCCAGCAAACTACAGTTTTGACTGCAGATTTCTACAATTTTCTTACTATAGTTTTTTTTGCAGTTCCTCTATATATAGTTTTACTTAGTTATATAGGTTTTACAAGCATAATTGACCCGCGCAAGCCGCAGCATTTGCATGAAAAATGCCAGAAAAATAGGTAGTTTGAGCATTTGGTTGGAACATAAATCTAACTGCGTACTAAAGCGCTGAATTGCAAAAATCAGCTTAAAATTCATTTTCGGAGTATTTTGAGTCTAATAGTAATTTTTGAAGTGGGTAGGTTTAAAAATAATTAGGGGTAAGAGTTTGGATTTATATATATCAAAATATCCTTTTTTTTAGAATGGTTGGGTTTAAAAATCAACATGGATTTATATATATCAAAATATCCTTTTTTTAGAACTATTCAATTTGCGGATGACACCCTAATCTTCTCCAGGGCAAACTCTTCTGACATGGTTACTCTCAAGACAATACTCTCCATTTTTTCAAGTATTTCAGGGCTTTGCGCTAATCCTCAGAAATCTAGCCTCTTCTACCTTGGGAAAATCCCTCACAAAGGCAATTCATTGGCGGAGACTCTTAACTGTGCTGTAGGTTCCCTCCCATTCTCTTATCTGGGTCTTCCACTGAAAAGGGGATCTCTATCCAAAAGAGAGTGGCAACCTCTCCTAGAATCTTTCAAAAAGAAGCTATCCTTATGGAAGAACAAATCCCTCTCAATTGGAGGTAGACTAACCTTACTGAATTCTGTGCTCTCCTCTATTCCCCTTTATTACATGTCATTCTTCAAGTTGCCGGTATGGGTCATCAAGGCCATAGATAAGATTAGAAGAAATTTCCTCTGGAATGGTAATCATAACTTTGCTAGATCTAAATGTCTAATCAACTGGGGAATAGTATGTAAGGCCAAAGATGAAGGAGGGCTTGGGGTGATAGACATCCCCTCCTTTAATTCAGCCCTCCTCTCCAAATGGATCTGGAAAATTTTCAATAGATCATCCCTGCTCAGTGAAGTGTTTTTCTCCATTTATTCCAAATATGGAGCTAAACCTTTTGCTAATCATCCGAAGATTTCACACTCAAGATTTTTTCAGGACATTTTCTCATCACAATCCACCTTCTTCAACACTGTCAGATGGAATGTTGGTAATGGCATCACGGGCAGTTTTTGGCATGATAAATGGGCATCAGCTAACACTCTTAGCAGTCTCTTTCCACATGCATACAAGCTAGCCTTCTCGAGCAATTGTAGCATCGGATCGCAAGGAAGATGGGCCAATGGTTCATGGGTCTGGCACCCTATTAGTAGAAGGGGAACTTCCCCCAGTGAGAGGGCAGACGTTACCCATCTTCTCTCTTTCCTAGAGCATCATTCCCCAGGTGACTCATCAGAGCAGGATGCTTTATGATGGCCTCTTCATTCATCGGGCTCTTTCACTGTAAAATCCTTCTACTCCTTTATTACTTCAGGGGGTATTAAATCTAAGTATTTCAACCTGACTTGGAAATCCAACATTCCCCTCAAGGTAAAAATCCACCTATGGATTATTACTAAAAGGAAACTGAATACAAAAGATAACTTGATTAATAAAGGATGGACTGGTGATCCAAGTTGTCCCTTGTGTCATCGGGAGACAGAGTCTCACGATCACCTCTTTATTCATTGCTCTTTTGCCCGTGAAGTCTGGAACTACCTCCTCCCTCTTTTCCCAGTTAACAGCTGGCCCACTAATATGGAGGACCTGCTGCTGCTCTATCAAGTCCCTAACATTTGCCCGGACATTAAAGCAATATGGAAGATCTTGTTGCCATGTTATTGTTGGTGGATATGGTTCAGTAGAAATTCGTTAATATTCAGGGATATTGTACCTAATTCGTTAACTACTGCTTCTAATATCGCGAGATTTACGTTTTTCTGGTCAGGTGACGGAGATGACAGGACGGCGAGGAGACTGCGAAGGGCAGCCCTCAACCTTGGTCTACAGGATCTAGCAAAGAAGCCTCCACCTGCGGATGCAGGGGACAACCTCTCCAACAACTAGCAGCTGGGTCTTGAGCTGCATCAGGAAGAAGAAAGAAAGTAGATTGGGCGCTTTTGTTCTATTTTTGGTTAGTAGCTAGCTGCGCCTAGCAATTCCAGTTTAATTTCTCAGTCTGTTGCTGTTTTCTAATTCCTCTTGGATATGTTGTTCTCTTTGTTGGTTTTCTTTTGTTTTCTCTAGACGTAGAAAGTGGTAGGTCTTGTGTGGTAGGTGACGACTGGTCCGTTCCCTACCCACCACTCCCACTGCTTTCCTTCTATCTAGAGAAGTTATATGTATTTACTTCCAAACTTTTCTTTTATATATTAAATGAACAGGGTACCTCACCCTGTTTCTCTGGTTCAAAAAAAAAAAAAAAAAATCAACATGGATAAAACTTTGGTTTTATAAATAGAAAATATGGCCGTAGTTTAGGATAGCTAATCAATAGTGTGAAAAAGAAAATATTAAATAATAATGAGTTAAACATTTGGTTTTAAAATATATATGTCGTATCTCTAATCACTTGAAACTAAAATACATAGCAAGTTATAAACAAATATAGCAATTTAGTGAAATATTTTATGTCTAAAAGTGATTTTGAAAGTGAATGTGTTGTAAATAAAAAAAAGGTAAGACTTTGGATTTATAAGCAAAATATATTTTTTGGATAATTTGAGTCAGTTTTAAATATGGTGGGTGAAACTCTAGGTGGAATATTTTGAGTGTAAGAATAATTTGGGAATTTGACAGGTTTAGAAGTAAAAGGTGTCACAACTTATGATTTATAGATAAAAAATACTCATCTACAATTGGCAAAATATTCATCTACAATTAGCAATGCTATAACATAAGTGTGGAAAAAAAATCTAGAAAAGCAATGGCTTGTGTATTTACTTTAAAATACAGTATACCCATAACCACTTAGAACAAAAATATAGAAAATTATAGCAAAATATAACAAATTACATGGTATAACAAACTACTGAGTGAAGTGAAGTTAAAATATTTTGCTGAAGTATTATAAGGGTGATCTTGGAAGTATGCGGGTTTACAGAAGGCGGAAAAATGTTGGATTTAGAGAAAAAAATTTATAAGAAAATATAACAATTAACACCATATATCCAACAGTTGAAGTTCAAAGTGGAGTTAAGCATAATATGTTGAAGTATTTTGAGTTTAAGCGAAATCTTAGAAGTGAGTGACTTAATCATTAGAGGATAAAACTTTGGGTTTATAAAAGCATCTCCAACCGTGCTGCATTTCTCCAAAATGCAGCCCGATAATATTCCAACTGAGCTCCAAAAAATGGAGCCCGACTGCAAAACTCCCCCACAGGCTGCATATTTGGAGCTTTTCCTCCAAATATGCAGTCCCCTCCATATAACTATTCACCCAAAAAATCCCTATTTTACCCTTCAAACTAACTAAATACTTTTAGATATTCCACTTATGTTCTATTTAATTATTATTTTATATATTTTATATATTTTTAAAATAAGTAAAAGAATTGTTAAATTGAGAGAAATTGAAATATAAATTGAAAAAATTTGAAATATAAAATAAGTAAATTGAGATAAATAAAATATAAAATAAGTAAAATAATTTTTATATATTTTATAATTTTCATATTTTAAATTAATTAATATAAATTTTTTATCATTTTATAATTTTTATATTTTTAAAATTATTTAAAGTATTATGTAAATCATTATTTAATAATATGTATTTTAGAAATGAAGTTTGATATAATG